AGAGTGACTCTTCAATTTCTTATTTTTCTGAGGCAGAGTTTCTCTGTGGCTTTGAAGGCTGTCCTGGAACTTGCTCTGCAGACCAGGCTGGCCTTCAGCTCAGAGAGATCAACCTACCTACGCCTCCAGAGTGCTGGGATTAAAGGCGTGTGCCACCAGGGGCCAGTTGCTAGAGTGATTCTTAAAGGTTGTCTCAAGCACTGGGTCCCACCCTCAGAACTGCCAAAACGTCCAAACTTAAAAACCTGTGACAACCAGAAGACCACCACCCTGCAAAAAAACAAAACAAAACAAAAGACAAACAAAAACAAAAAACTGGCTATATGTGATTTGGGAATAAACATGAGCTGAAGAGAGGCTCAGAGGTTATCAGCACTGGCTGTTCTTCCAGAGGACCAGAGTTCAATTGCCAGCACCCACATGGCAGCTCACAACTGTCTGTAACTCCAAGATCTGACACCCTCACACAGACATACATGCAGGCAAAACACCAATGCTCATAAAAGTAAATAAATCATTAAAGAAAAAAAAAAGCCAATCCTGTCATGTGCACCGCGGTGGGAAAGATCTGACATAGCTCTATGGTGGTCAGAATGAAGGTGTCTCAGACATGCTTCCAGCTAAGGTCCCTTCTGAGTATGGATGGAGAGCAGCTACACTGTTTGCTGACAGTCTTTGGGGGCAGGACAACTTCAAACCAGCAAGCCTCCCTCACCAGGCCAAGCCAGCACATGCGAGTCAAACCTCCCCATCTAGGGGTCTGAAACTCAGTGTCTTCTCTGGGTGCTGGCAGTTTGGGCCTCGACAATGTGGGCAGTGGGCACTGCTGCATAAGGCCAGGGCAAAGGCCAGCAGTCAAAGCAAACTCTCCATCCATTGGGCTGAACACCTGTCATCTCAGAATTTGGGAGGTGGAGGCAGAATTAGGAGCTTGAGGCCAACCTGGGCTACATAAGATCCCATCTCTCAGGCATGAGTGTGTTGGTTTGGTTTTTTGAAGCAGGATCTTACCATGTAGCTCAGGCTGGCCTCCAACTCAGAAATCTATCAGTCTCTGGCTGAGATTAATGTCACTGCACCACCACTCCCAGTTGTTTTTGAGTTGTTTTTGTTTTTGAGTCAGGGCCTCTGACTCTAGCGCAACGGTTCTCAACCTGTGACTCAAAACCCCTTTCTGGGTTGCATGTCAGCTATCCTGAATATCAAATATTTGTAACAATAGCAAAATTAGTTATGAAGTAGCAATGAAAATAATGTTATGTTTGGGGGTCCCCACAACATGAGGACCTGTATTAAAAGGCCACAGCATTAGGAAGGTTGAGAAGCACTGCTCCAGCCCAAGCTGGCTTTTCTGCAGGAAGGCCGTCTTGCTTGTGAGATGTGATCCAGCTCCCCTTGCTATGCACACAGACATCCAGTTTATGACAGGCCAAACTTGTGGTCATTCAGATTGAACAGTAGGCTCCCACAGCAGAACTGGAGTGACAACAGGATCACCAGGCAAGCTGTCTGTCCAACCTCGGGGTTCTGATTAGTCTACTGGTTACTTAAAATGTCAACTCCCAGAAATAGAGACTTGGTGTTATGTGGTTAGTTTTCAGAGGCCATTTCCTCAAGCTTGCTGAGGCCTAGGCTGTCATTCTTAGCCACTCAGATCACTGAGTCAACAGCAAGGCTCAGCTGACCGGAGTCAAGGCCAACACATGTGGTAATCACGAATAAATTGAGTGGAGAAGACAGCACCGCTAACAGAAAGGTCCCCAGCATGACCCCACCTTCAAAGTTCTTGGATGGAGCTCTACTTGGGTGGGGAGGGGTCCCAAGCACACTCATTAGTGCCACTCACCCATTTCCTGTTTTTCTTTTTTTGGTTTTTGAGACAGGGTTTCTCTGTGTAGCTTTGGA